ACCCCCCCCCCCCCCCCCCCCCCGTAACCTGACATAGGGTCCCCCGTCTCCATACCTTCGGGGTCACGTCTAGGCGCAAGGCGTAGTTATGGCGCTCTTCCGGCCGGCAGTAGTGGACCACGTCGCTCTCGAGCTCGTGGCGGGGACAGCCCTCGAGCTGAACCTCGGCGGCGCTTAGCCACTTGAAGAAAGATCCCCCGGGTTTACCCCTTCTATCCCATTCCTGATTCGCGGAGGAAAAAGGCACAGACGAGAGGCGGCCGGAATACAAACAACAAATTCTTTACCGGTGTAGGTAGGAAGCTACCGGCGTGGGTACAGTATGGTAGGAAGGTGAGGTACGAACACGAGCTGCTCATCTCGAGGGTTCTGAGTGTTCGTGTAACGTCGTCTTATATTCCACCGGAACAACGGCAGAGGCAGGCACACACACGCCCAACAATTCTCGCCGCCAGCAAGCACAAACACTTGATATGCATAAAAGGACAGCAAACTCCCAGCAGCGAACACCGCCGCCAGCACCAGAGACAGCTGTGGCGAGGGTATCGCCGCCCGCTCCTACGCCAACAACAACAAACAGCGCAGCTACTCAACCCAGCAACACCACCACGCACCTTGAAGTAAAGCCTCAAGTTCTTGCCGTACCGATGCTGCTTGTCGCGAACCTCGAGCCAGGAGCGTTTGTCTAGCGCCACGCAGTTCATCTTCCACCCCTGAAGGACCTGACCAATGCCGTAAGCGCAACAATAACTTCCACGAATCAACATGTGTGTCTGACCAACCGATAAGCGAATCAACAATATCCACCAATCAAAATATGAGAAAAAAAGGAATCGCACGCATGCATACGTGAGCGTCTCCAGAAAAACACCACGCAATCGAAACAAAGAAAGGAGCAAAAATCCCCCAAGAATACTCTCCGATAGGAAATATATTCTCCCGACTTAAACCATGCACGGCCAAGAAAAATCGACACATGCATCGTAAAATCGCAATTAAGGTGCAACCGTACTTCTGTAGATGCGTACATCAGACAGCCGCACTTCTGTAGGAGAAGAGGAAACAACAACAATCGCCACGACCTCAAAAGCGACAACTCGCGGCAGCAGCACAGCCTGAACCAACAGCTGATAGCGCCACACCAACCATGGCCCGCCTCGGTCAAAATAAATAAAAAGACAAAAACGCAAATACGTGAAAGCGAGCCTGGCGCTGAAATTACGAAAAACATGCCCATCAAAAAACTTGCCAAACGTCAGGTAAGGAAAAGGTAAGGCACGCCCAGGGCAGATAAATGATGCGGACTCGAAAATAATGACGCCCCATCATCGGAAAGACCACCAAGGCAAGCAACACCGGCACAAAAAATAAACTCCTCTTCAACACATCCCCTTCGAATGTGGTTATATCTCGGATGGGTAGTGTTTTGGGTTTTTTTTATGTATCGACGCATTCGTTTAGGGCAGGGGGAGCCAACATAAACGATGACGGAGATAGTTGTATTATGAAGACCGGTCCAGGAAATGTTCCAAACGATTTCCAGGAACATTCGCACACGAAACTACACGTATCACAAGGACGTTCCTCGTTCCCACTTCTTCGGGCAACCGAGTGCCGACACGGCAAACAGGAGGAAAGAGAGTGTACGTTAAAGCACCGCCCACCCACCCTCACAGACCGTAAGACTGGAAGTCTAGGAAGTGACGTTTATTCCCCTACAAATCCAGTCGCGATCAGAGAGCGTAGATGAGTGTCCCACGGATGCACGCAAGACACTCATCGACACTTCCATTTCACGACGGGTGGCTTTACCAACCTAGTGGGAGGTGAAGCCAAAGTCTTATCCCACACCATAGGGGAAGAATTAAACGGTCACGGGAGATGCTGTTGTATGTTTCCTTGAACAACCTGCGCACCATACGCCCAACTGTAGTCGTCCCGGCCCAATGTGAAACATTTTGGCCGGATCATCCATGGCGTATATCATCTGGTTGGTCACACCTAACGCGAGGATCGGTGACGACCATCCTTGATACACAAACGTACGTACGTAGCCTGGGCCGGCGGAAACCGACAAGGCATATCGCTCCGTCCGGGCATGCGAGGTCAAATGGCCTAACCACAAGGGCATGCCGTTACACGAGGACCGCCCTCCCCCCCCCCCTCCCCTCCCGAACCCCGCAACAAAAACTGGAAATAAAAAACGCGCCACGCCGTCCATGATGGTAACGCTTGGTCCAAATTTTCCGACAACACACAGCACACACGCACACCTGGGGTGGGGGTGCGGAGGCCTCGTTGCTGTATTGGTGGTACAGGGTGCTGCTGTGCTCGCGATCGGACGGCGCCCCCGAGAACCCCAACAAGTCGGTCGAGTAGTCCAGCAGATCGAAACCCCTCGATCGCGGCGGGTCTACGATTGCAGTAGTCGTGTTGTACACGAGAGCAACGCAAGCGCAAGACCGGCGGGAGAAATGCCGGCAAGGGAGGGGGCGGGGGGGGGGGGGGGGGGGGGGGGGGTCACGGG